GTGTGCGTGATTTTTTTTATTGTCAAATATTTTGCTGTATTTTACGATTTTATGTACATTGTAAAACAAGAAAATGAAGTTTAAGACTTCAAATCATTTTTATGAGTCGATCATATGATGGGCCCTAATCGTACGTAGGTAACAAATACTCTTACAATTTGGGGTTAGATAAGTGCGTGCGGTATTAACTTGGCAATTGATATGAATTCGCCATAAGTAGTAAAATCAGTCATAGAAAGCATGTTTCTATGATAAGTAACTATAGATTTATCTAATCTACGGGAAACTGGAGTGAAACGAGTTGACTTCTAGTTTTTTTCCCAAACTATTTGTTTTTTTTTCCTTTTCAAACCGAATTAAACCAGAAACGGTCGAATTCGGTATCATTCTTTCTAAACCAAGCAAACCAGAATGTCTATCCATAACCAAAAAAAAGAAAGAATCCCATGATTCACAAAGACACAAAGCATGTTTTTACTACTCTACATTTATACATTACAAGACACATGACGATATACTACCACAAAAAACAATCACATCAAATTTAAAAAATCGTATCAAGATAAGCAACACTGGACGACACTACACAAACTCAGAGACCACCACAAAGAAGACAATTTCCAACTCTTGATGCTGTGAAAGTTTTCTCATTTTTAGTATGACGGATTCTGGTAAGCATCACGAGCACGAGAGTAGCAAACGTAGTAGAACTGAGAGACGATAGCGGTAAAGAGAGTGAATGCAGCACCAGCTGCAAAAACTCCTTTCCTTATAACTTCACAGCTCGGCCGAGTTTCAATGTTCCACATCTTTCTGTACTTTGTGTGGTACGCGTTTCTGATTGATGCCGCAAGCAAACATATCTCAGCAATCAAGAAAAACACCCTGCAAAACGAACCATTTTCATTGTACAAAATCAACTGCACTGCCCAATCAGAGTTTTGAGACTTATCATGTTCGACATGAGATTAGCATATTGTTGTTACCAGCAAAGGAGGAAGAGAAGAATGGCACACGCTCTTGAACCGCCGGGGTTAAGGGATTTTCCACAGCAGAAGCAACGGCTAGCCGCCATAATAATGACTTGGCTTATAAAGAGAAGCGCGAACGCACCAGCTCCATAGCTTGTAGCAATGTCAGTGCCATACACACAGTACTCATACGTCTTCTCTTTGTCCGTTACAACCGTGCCCTGTCAAAACAATGACGACTTCAAGATAAACCGTATAAAGAACAAATGCAGAAACCACATTTCAGATTTGGTTTCCAACTTCTGATTTAAACATTTGATCCTACAATAGCCT